AGTATTTACTAAGTTTGTATGCTTTCTTCTCTTGCAATGAAGCCCTGGGTTCTCTTTGCTGCCTTCTGTACCATATGCGGTTATTCTTTTTCCAGTATCGAGATGTGCTTGTGACTTATTCCTCCAAGCTTTGGCCCTGTGGACTGTGCGATGGATGATTAGATTTTAGGAGTGCCAAAATCTGGAAGCAGTTCATTTGGAAAATTGCTTAACAGATTGCAAATGGTGAATAAATTATTGCACAAGGGAACTTTTGGGAAGGATCTTGAAATTCCCGTGGTTGTAAATTTCTGCAGAATATATACGATCGTGCTTGCGAAAACCAAATCCTCTCTTGGAAACCATGAGAAAAAAGTGAGAGTTCTCCACTCTCCTTCTTTTAAATTGAAATTCAACAAAAATTCACAATTATCACAAGGCAGTAAAGATGTGATTGATCAAATCTAACTTTACCAGCAATTTTTGCATTTCTCTAGACCCTCTTACTTATGTTTCTTGACCGGATCCCATCAATGCCGTTTTTTTTTCTAGGGCAGCCACCTCAAACCAAGCATTTGTAAAACTCAGATTTAAAGTACATGCAGGGGAATGATTTTGTCATGGCCTCTAAACAGCACAGGATGTGGTGACAGTGTATTTGGTACTTGTGACCTCAGCTGAATCTGTGGGGCATATTTTGGTGGTGTGCTTGTCGTTTCATAGAAAGATCAGTCTGCAGTGGTCACAGCTCTTAGCACTTACTGTTTGTTGTTATAAAATTTGTCATTAAGCTGAGCTATGAGCTGTAAACTTCTGGGAATGTTCCTCAGCTGATTTATTGACATTGTTCTTCTTATCCCCAGGTTCTCACTTTCGATTTCTTTTTTTTCCCCCCCCCCCCCCCTGTGTTTTTTTTGTGGGTTTTTTTTTTTTTCCTTCTTACTCAATCTTCTCTGTGCATTTCTTTCGAAAATATGTGTGTGAGGTGGTGTGGTGTCAGAGCAGATTATCAGAAGATCTATGGTTCTGCAGCACCTGGGGTCAAACCCAAACCGCAGAGGATATCCTGATTGACTGAACCTGTGCCCCGGCTCTGGGACCCTTTCAGACTTGAGAAGGAGAGAATTTATTTCCAGGCCATAGAGCAGAGCTCAGCAGAACACAGCAATGCATTTCAGCCCCTCACAGTCACAGGTGGGACTGGCTGTATTGCTAATGCTAGATTTCTTTGTGGCCGTGGACACCCCTGTGACTTGTGTTCTAGAGAGCAAAAGGTAGATGTGACCTGGGCTTAAGCTATCGTGATCCTTCATTTACTTTGTAGATAAGGTAGGAAGGGAAGATTTGCTTTGAACAGTAGCTAGGGGTGGTGAATCTGAAAATGCATAGAGATTCAATTCAGTTTTAATTACCATTTAGAAACTTCCTTCACTGTCTCAATCTCGTCTGATTTGAAAAATACTTGTAGCGATATTGTCAATATTTTCCCAGCTCAGGTCTCCCCAGAATTCCTTCCTTTTGATGCTGATTTTCTTTGAAGTATCAGAGAAGCAGCCTACCTGAACGCCATCTTGGTGGTAACACACAGGCCGGTTCCAAGGCATCCACACTTAAAGTTCTACTCAGAAAAGCAGCTACCTTGAGAATGATTTCTCTTGATTTTGAAATGCGTTGAGATTTTACTCTGAGATGAAATGCAAAAGGAAAACGCTGCCCTGCAGTAACCAGTGACAACTTCAGTGCAAGTTCAAGTCCTGGGTCAGCTTTATACAAAACAAATATGTCAGTCTTCCATGTCTGAGCATAATGCTGTGGTTTTCAAGCCATAGGCCGTCCTGAGGTCTGTCTGGGTTGGACAAGAATTTGTCTTGGCTCTAAGACTTTTGTTCCAAAGAAATGTCATACTGAAATAGTTAGGTTTCCTGTCAAAAGTTTTAGCTTCAATGAATGAAAAATGTCATTCAAAAGTGAGAAATACTTTCTTCCTTGAATTTTCTGACTCGCTCTGCTCCAAAACTGTGTCTAGCATGTGGCAGTTATGAATTCACAGTGTATCAGAAACGTGCCTTACTGGCTTGCTAACACCTTGTGTTGCATTTGGTTCATAGGACTGAGAACTGAAAAGGTGAAATCTACGTTGTTCGAGGTAATTTAATGGAGAATAGACTTGGGTCTTGTTTTTCCTGATTTGTAGAGAGTGCCTAGGAAAGCAGATAAAATACTAGGAAACCAATAAAGTGATCTTCTAATGGCATTACAGTTTTTACCCCAGTTTGGTGCCTGTAGTTGATAGCAGTGAATTTGATGATACCCTGCTACAGATTGGGAACTGCATCTTGAATTGGAAGGATAGGAAAGGCACGATCAAAACTCTCAGCAGCAATGCAGAGGGTTCGCACCTCTCTCTGTGTCTTCAGATGAATCAAGAACCAAGTATAAATCTGAAGTGTCACTGAGAAGCAAGCCATGCTGTGTGCCTCACCCCTGAAGTCCTGCATGTGGCCTTTAACTTTCTTGAAATCTGTCATGGGGGGCAGCTGTGTGCAAATGTGCTGCATCCCTCCCAGAGGCACTCATGCTGAGGGACAAATGGAACCACAACCTGAGCGTGCTTTGCTCAGAAACTTGCAAGCTGCAACACTCTTTGTGCTCCTCCAGGTGTGAATTGGGATCTCTGAGCTTCTTAATGAGCTGACTTCAGGCTTGTTTTGTTATTATGCTGTACTTTCTCTTTTTTTTTTTTTTTTTTTTTTTTTTAATTTGTGGATTTTTTGTTGCTGTGGTTACTATCAGCATGGGTTAATGCTCCTCAGCATTGCAGGCTGTGGAATGGGAACGTTCACATTTGGCAGCAAGTGGCTTTTTTGCACTTAAGTTTTGAGGTGCCATTTTATTTTAGAGGAAACGAGACTGGGATTTAAGTCAGAAGAACATATGGCAACTAGATTTTGAGAATGGATAGAATGGACAAAGATAGGTTCTTAAGTTTGACACAGTGTGCTTTAGTAATTCAAACGGTATTTGTGAAAACAGTGCAAGTTTGCTGGTTTTGGTTAGAAGCGCTTTCTAAAGCTGGAGTGAGTGCTGACTTATTCAACAGCACTATGGTTGAAGCATTTGTCTGTGGAGCAAAAGATAGCACTAAAATGTCTTTTTTGAGAGGGCTTCAAACCATATATTCTTACCTTGAATCAGGTACTCAACAGATTTAATTTATACTAACATTGAGTTAGAAACATAACCAAGCTGGCTGCAGAATATCTGGCAAAAAGTTTGCACAGCTGTGTTATGAACACATGGTTCTGCGGTACTTCTTGAGTTGGTAACTTGGTGTTTTTTTCTGGCAATAAAGCACTTGTATTCTGGTCTGCCTGCTTGCTATAGCTCTTGTATTCTGGTCTTTGCCATGGCCTACTCCATCATTAATAAACATATGTTATAACCTGATTCCTTCCAGCTTCTTTACCTGAGAGGATGGGCCTGAGGTGGCACTGATATCAGGTCTGCCCAGATTTGATACTGCAGTACAGCGTGATCTTGTGTATCCGGGTCAGCTACAGGGCTTTGCACAATGAGTGCTGAGGTGGGCATGGTGTGCAACTGTGATGCTACCCTGCTTTATTTATATATTCAGTTTAGAGCTTCTTTTCCAGCTTTATTCAGGCATACTAATGGCAAAGGTTTCTCTGAGAAGTAAGGACTAGGAGTGAAGAGGATCATTAAATTTTGACCCTGCTGTGTTTCTTCAGGGAAAAATATGTGAAAATAATGCATCTTAGTATTGGCTTTCAAACTGCCTTCTCCTTTAGTAAATACACCAATCCTTTTGTGCTGTACCTGTGGTCTCTTCTGGTACACCACAATTCCCACTTCTCTCTCTTCCTGCTTCTAGATGGCAGGTGGCCTTCACAGCAAAGTTTGCTAGTTGTAGCAGCCCTGACATCTCTTCTACCTCTTGGAATAGGTAGCCAAAGTGAACTGGCTGTGAGGCAGCAGCTCTCAGCTCAGCTCTGGAGAAGTGCGTGTACTCGGTCTTTCAAACTGCACCCCGTGGCCTTGGAAGCAAAAGACCTGGTGTTGGTTCCTGATCTGAATCTCTTATTGGTTTCGTGTAGGTATCATCTCAGCCTAGAGATGGCATTAAATGGAAAGAAACTTGAGTACGCTTGAAACATCTAGTCTGTCCTCCTAAGCTGATCATTTGCTTACAGTGAGCTTTGGATCCATGTACCTTGCTCATTCCTCTATTTTTCTTCTTTAAAACAGAAATATTTCTGCTTGTCTATTTTGCTGAATGGGAGGATGTACTCTATACTGGCTTGAATTTATTATTTGTGTTACTGGTTGATTGTTTTGTTTTTGTTTTTTTGCTAAAATGTCAGAGGTTTTGTGCTGATCAATACCAATTTGTGCCATTCCTATTTCTGTTACCTCACTCTACTCTCATGTATCCCTGAAAAAATGATGGGGAGAACAGAGGTGTGTGAGGGGTGCAAGGGAAGAACTGCATGGAGAGGTGAGGGCAGATCTGCTAAATGTCTTGGCATGCAGGGGAAGGTATCAAACCACCCCCAAGTGCATTGCCAGGTTTGGAAAGTAATGCCCAAATGGCACTGCAATTGCCCTCTTGACAGGCAAAGTGCTGCATCACCCTGTCCATGTCATCCATGCTATAGCTGGTTCCAGCATTAAGACTTGCTGCTTTACTACTGGGCTTAGTCTGAAATGAAAATGTGCCGTGAGTCTTGTATGGGAGATATGGAACCATGACTTTTTGGGATCCCCAAAGGATTCCTCCCTCAGAAAGGTGTCCCACCTCTTTGTTATGAAACTATTTACTTTGTCTAGAGGTTTTGTTTGGGTGTGTTATTTTCACTGGTAGTTTCTAATTATGGTACTGCAGGATCACCAAAAATGCACTCATCATCATGAGTGGCTGCTTCTTATGTTTTTTTTTTCTGTTTCATGTTCAGGACACAGTAACCAGATTGCAAAATAATGAGCTACCTTATGTATTTCAGAAATATACCCCTCGCAATATGCATTTCAATGATAATCGTCACAGTTGGCTATGTGTTAACAAACGTGGCTTATTTCACTACAATCAGTGCTGGGGAATTGCTGCTTTCAAAAGCTGTAGCCGTGGTAAGTTACAGAAGAAAGATACAAAGCTATATCTCTGCTGCAGTTGTGTTTGTCCATATGTTCTTATTTCCAAGGGGAAAAAGGTTGGGTGGGACACATAGCAATCATGCTTTGTATGGTTCCTCTGTTACACAGTAGAGTAGCAACCAGGCAAACTTTGATTTTTGTCTGTTGAGTGGGATTGCATTTAAGGTCACAGCATATGTAATAATAATGTTAGACCATGTCTTTTTACTTGATGTAACAAGATCAATAGGACTTGAAGTGTCCAGTACGTACTTAACTATAAAATATTTTACTAAATCATTGGTTGAACCCCTGGGAAGCAGAAAATACAGATGCTTGAGAAGAAAGTGGGGGGTCCAGCTTATTTTGTGTAGCAGGAAGCAGTAACGCAGTCTCTGCACATTGTGTATCGTGGGTACCTAGTAAGGGGGGTGCTGTGAATACTGGAACTTATTTGGAAAGGAGCTGCAAGGTACCTGGCTTGGAAATACTGCTGCGATTGGTCTTGTTGAATTGTGATGATGACACTGATTTTTATATATGATATTGGACTCGCATTGAGGAAATAAAAATTTCCATTGACTTTGCAGTAGTGACACAGCCTGTGACTTTTTCAATTGATGTGTCATTTAAAAAATGGCCAATTCAGTAGTTCCTGGGAGATTTAGGGAAAAAAAAAAACAAACCAAAAAACCAACGTTTTGCAGATCTCCAGAAAATTGTGCAGGTCTCCTGTGGTTCCCCAAACACTTTCAGGCTCTTTCAGTGACCTTGAACAACAAAGTGTGACCGGGTGGAATGCAGTGTTGAGTAGCATCAGCTAAAGAAAATAAAGGCTGTGGAAAGAAATACCAGCTATGCAGATCAGAATCTGAACAGTTCAGAGTGAGTCTTTTTGGAGGCAAAGTCAAGGCCTGATTCCACCTCGACAGCTCTGCCTCAGCTGGAGCCCTGCCAGGGACAGTCAGAAGTAAGAGTGGAAGACCTCATCTGCAGCAGTCTTGTGTTGGAGAGGGAGGAATCACAAATGCACGGCACGTGTTTCAATGAGGGAAGCAAAGAGGGTTATAAATAAAATTGAAATGCTTATTAATAATTTGTTAATAAAGTAAAATTGCTTTCATGTTTTCTGAGGGAAAAGTCATGGTATGTTTTTCTCTCCTCCAACAGACCTTTGCTGAACGATTAATGGGAAGCTTTTCTTTAGCTGTACCAGTGTTTGTTGCTCTCTCCTGCTTTGGATCTATGAATGGTGGCATTTTTGCAGTCTCCAGGTAAGTATATGTTAATATTACTGGAAGTGAAAGGCATATATTGAAAATAAGAAAGCAAGTAGAAGGAAGAAAAGGCTTTATTCCTCTTGTAGCAAATTGAAAATGACTGAAAAGTTTATAAAGTGTGTTTTTTCTGCCCTCACTTTTCTCCTGTTGAGTTTAGTATCATTGCTAAAACCCTTTGAACAGTTTGGAAACGGATCCCTTTGAGTGTAGCACTTCATTAATGGCTGTTTTGTTTCATGTGAAGGAGGTAAATTGGAGGGAAAACACTAACTACTTCTAAACACTCATCATAGTATAAGATAATGGGGGGAACACAAACAGAGATTACTTTGATTTCTGCTTATGGGCCTCTCCTGCTACTCTTTTCATTCTGAGCACCTCAAACGAGCCTAAGAAGTGCTGCTGTGTTGTGTGACTTTCATGAGCTGCTTTGCCTTGTCACAGTAATGAGCACATTTAAAGTCTGTCCACATTTATTTCCCACCAGGATGTTCTTCGTTGCCTCCCGTGAGGGTCACCTTCCGGAAATTCTCTCCATGATTCATGTCCGCAAGCACACTCCTCTGCCAGCTGTCATTGTTTTGGTAAATCATACAAACAAATGTTCCTGCACAAGAATTCATATTACGGGCTTGCTCTGGAGGATTCAAACAGAATTTGGGCACTGCTTGAGTCTCATTTATTGATGTATATGCGGGCTTTGGGCAGGGCAGAGGACAGTAAAGAGAAGAATGAGATCTGGGAGTTGTTCTTGTCCTATCATCTCCTCCTTGCTATCTTGTTGGTAGTGCCTGACTGCCTATCCCTGGAACCAAATTCATGTCTTATTGCCCTTTTTTTTCTAAGGATGTGCTAGAGATGGGCTTGCTCACTTTCAGAGAGGCAAATTCTTGTTAAACAAACAAAAAAAAGTCTTCATTTAACTGAAAGCGCAGCTAAACACTGGTGTCTGGGGGCACCCTAAAAGCTCATTATACCACCTTACAGTGAAAAATGCAAACAATTATGCACTACGATAATGGAAAGCGAACCCTCAGCAGTGTGGTGCAGTGGTGATTAAAAAATGAGAGTATGTGTGCCTGGGCAATAGCCTGTGAATCGTCTGAAGAGAAGCCCCAGTATTATAGTGGAAATCCTATTGCTGTGTTCTAGCATAGAGGCAGAGGAAAATGTTGGCCATGTGTTTGCATTGCAGGCTAATTTGTGTAGTGAAATGTTAGGACAAAATGTCAAAATACAAACTTCACACCAATTTGCTTAGTGCCAAGTAGATTTCCACTTAACTTGCAGACTTTTTCATAGCTGTGGGTGTTCAGCCACTCTTTTGGGACCCATGACTGTAATGTGTTTGGACAGACCTCTGCATCTGGGCGAGTTCTAACTACAGCAGGAGATGTGTGTACATATAAGTCTACACAAGCAAGATCAGTTGCTAGTAGTGGAATTTAAATCAGTTTTTTTGCTAGACATGCCTATGAGCTCACTTTTGAAGTGCTAGCTGAAGTATTGAATCTTATATATGCCCATGCATCTGTAGGCATCTAAGACTGTAAAACTAGACAGAATAATTATGGTGAAATGTTTTAAGGGAATTCATTTTAATTAAATGTTCACTTTGCATGTATTTCTTTGGGCTGAAATATTCATAATCATCAGGTAGATTGCATTGACTTTTTCTGTGGAATGAAACGCCCTAAATAAACTAAAATATTCATATATATAGATAGACTTATTTTTTTACCCTGAAAAATGTTTACTTCTGTTGCATCTGGTCCCATTACTAGCGCATTGATCCCCTTTATAAAAAGTCAGATTCATATGAAGATGGTTTTCATTCAAGGATTATGTTTTTCTTACCTCAGTGCAAGCAGAGTAGTTGCAGGATATATTCTGCATCAGTAGTCTGCATTTTAGTATTTTCTTCTTTTGTTTCTCCTTTCAAGCTTTATGTGCTATACAAAAGGGAATGGATCTTGAGGAGAAACTGAGAAAATGAGCATGTTCAGTGTTTAAGGCCTGAAAAAGAAAACAAAAAACAAACATTTAGGAATTAAGAAATTTGCCTATTTCCTGTCTGCTGATGGATGTGTCTGTAACAATTCCAAGAAACCATTCCGTATGGTTTTGTTTCTCGTAGCTCTCTTTCACTGGCTGTGGCCCTTTGTTGCAGCATCACTCCCATAACTGAGATCTCTTCTCGGGACTGAGTCTGTATAGAAGACTTCTGACCCAGTATAATTCAGTGGAAAAGTTTCCTTTGACCTTTACAGAGAAGTTTGCTTAATATCCATGAGTAAAGAGCCAAGTGCTTTGTAAGTCATTAGAGTTTGGAAGCCAGATACCCATATTTGAAGTATTGATCCTTTTGATTCAAATCCACACAATCCTCACTGCTTTAAAAAAAAAAAAAAAAAAAAAAAAATCACCACAACCCACATAAATAGAGACTGTGACTCTAGATCTCTAATGCAAATGTTCTTTATGCAAAGATTTAGCCCAGTTAAATCTTTAGGGAGCTGCATTTCACCTGTTGCCTCGTTATAAACCTAGAGGGACTGTCAACACTAGGACATTCTCTTTTTCTGAAGAGTTGCACAATAGTGATGCTTGTGAGTGTCTTCATCCCCAAATGCAAGGGCTGTGTCATTGCAGGTATAGAGTCTCTCATGTGGAAAGTGTGGACTACCCTTTATAGTTGGTCCAAGCTACAGATATTCTGCTTTTGTCCAGAGATAATGCTGAAGCAGATCCATGTAGCCTACACTAATCATCCAACCCCAGGTACAGCACTCTGGTTTGTGCATAAGCTTTCAGCCATCTCACAAACATAACTCAAAAGACCTATTTAATGAAGAAATGCATTTATTTTACTGTTGTTTTCCCTTTTTGCTTGGTTCAGCAATCTCTTGAGTGACAGCTAATGGCTTCTCTCTGCTTAGAAATGTTTGCATTTCCAATGTGCAGTAAGTCTACACCCCTCAAGCCTACATGGCATGCTGCTAATACAAACTGGTGTCAGCCTGGTGCGCCCAGCCAGCATCCCATGGTGTGTAGCCAACCTCTAACATGCTTCCTTTGTCATGAGCAAGCAGAGGAGTGGTGGGCAGGTCCTGTGAGAACAAAGCACAGGGTGCACGTGTGTTGTGGTGCCTGTGTATTTGTCTGGGTCACTGGGACAGGTGTGTATGGCTCACATGCGGTCAGCCAGGTTAGGCAGTGTTGATTAAACATGATCCCAGGGGACTGGTAGACACTTATCAAACATCTGGTTGCATGAGCTGGCAGGCTCGAAGGCTGTGGCCCTCATGTATCTCTGGATAAGACTGTTGCTTCTCTCCACGGCAATGGATTTGGCTGTAAAATAACAGAAATCAGACCATTAAAAGCCTCTTACGCTCTTAATTTCTTTTGCAGCACCCTCTCACAATGATAATGTTATTCAGTGGGGATCTCTACAGCCTCCTGAATTTCCTCAGTTTTGCCAGGTGGCTTTTTATTGGACTGGTAGTTGCTGGCTTGATTTATCTCAGATATAAACGTCCTGATATGCCTCGTCCTTTCAAGGTAACCTTCTCTCTAAGCTGTTCTACATGAATTTTTCTCCCTGGTATCTATTGTCTAGTCAGATAGCAGAGCAGCATTTGCTGATGTGAAAAGTTCGGCTACTTTGAGAAAAAACGGGAGTTAATAGAAAATAGTCTTTTACATTGAAGAGTCTCCTCGTGTTTTCCTTCAAGTTCTCCAGTGTTATCCTGGCTGAGCTCCCTTCTGAAAGACAATTTTTATTAATTCCCTGGTGGCTGTAGGGGAGCGATTGAGCTTGCTGTGCAGAAGGCAAGGTGTTTGCTCAGTTTTGCCTGTCGTGTTGAGGCGGTGTGAGGCAAGCTAAGGTATTGATGCTCTGCCGAGTTGTGTGAAAATACCTCCAGTCTGGTGTCGTTTCATAAGCTTCAAACTCCAAATATTGCGGCTAGTCATCTAGTCCTCAATTAATTCTATATTTTCTTAAAGGTTTGAATAATTTTTCCACCGAAATTCATGCCAGGTATGAGCATTAAATTTCAATTTATATTTCATCGTCTATTCAAAATAAATTATACCAAATATGATGTGCAAATAAGTTAGTAGTGATATTATTATGATATTTGGAACTCGCGAGTGGTTTGCAGGCACTGTTACTGTGAAACCAGAAGAAAATAACAATAGTTTGGCCCACTGAACTATAGTTACTTTGAACTTAGTTCTGTTGCTGATCTTGCTTCATGTAACATCTTACAGAGTCAGTTTTCCCATTATGTGTATGGAAAGGTAACAGGATGAAAAATGTGGAGGATTCTAGCCCTATTTATGTATTCCTAAGAAATCTATTTTATGAAGAAATCAGAATGTGCAGTTGCTTTCTCGCAGGCATAACAGCAAATAAGAAGGTCAACAGCACAGCCCATTTTGCTTTGATTAAAAAAAATGCTTTGGCAGTACAGAAAAGAGGAACAGTAATGTTTCAAGGCATGAAAGGAAGAAAATAGTTTCCAAGGAATTCTCCAATTCTCCATTACACCAAACATTTCACAAGCTATGGCGCAGGGAGGTGGTAACAGTGACTGTGGTGGCATTCTTTAAAATTGTGAGAATTAATTTGATATTGCTATTATATTTTTTTTTATCCTTTCAACAGTGACACTGATAATGCTACCAGTCATATTGTCAGAAAACTGCTTTTCCAGAAGCTATCAGTTGCATAATGGTATCAAATATCTTTATCAGTTGTCAAGTGGGTGTTTAATTTGCTCTCTTCCTGCCAGATGTTGATTTTTACCTTAGGAAGAAAATCAATATCTTCTTAATAGTTTTAAAAGGTGGCTTGAGCTCCGTGTTGTGTTTTAAAATGTTTCCTAATAGGTAATTATCAAAGAGGAAATCTTTACTGCAGTTAGTGCTGCTTACTTATCTGCTGGAGGATTAGAGAAAGGAATTTTGTAATGTAACATATTTACAGCCCTTACATTTTAAAGGGCGTAAAACACTCTAGTGCTAGTGTGTAATTAAAAGACTTCTGTGGTGCTTACTGTGCAGCACTTGGCTTAGCTTGGTTCCTGCAGTCACTGGCATTTTGTGCGCCTCTTTTAAAGACCTGCGTTTCTCCAGGACTATCCTGTACTGCTGAGTTTTATCTGGTTTACATTTCATGGAACATTAAATACCATTATCATTCAACAGCAAGGTCAATGCCAAGTAATGATTCTTTGTGTGGTTGTGTTCCAGGTGCCTCTATTTATTCCAGCATTGTTTTCCTTCACCTGCCTCTTCATGGTTGCACTGTCACTTTACTCCGATCCAGTCAATACAGGGATTGGATTCGCAATAACCCTGACTGGAGTTCCTGCCTACTACCTCTTTATTGTCTGGGACAAGAAACCAAAGTGGTTCAGAAAGCTCTTAGGTAAGTCCCCAGGGGGCCCCCCTCCTTGATCCGACTCCAGAAATTTCTCAGGGCTGCGGGTGTTGTGAAATCCTTGCTATCGATTGCCTCGGCTGCTCTGCTCCAGGTGTGACAATGCAAGTTTCTTTGTGGAGTATGCTGTAGCATTGGTTACAGTCAATGTCAACTAACTAAAAGAGTTGCTTACAGCAAGCTTATTCTTCAGCCAAAGAGAGTGACTTCAAATGCCTGCCTGCCTCTCTTCCTGCTTCCTTTTGCCCTCCTTGTCCTTACAACCATGTGATTCCTTTTAAATTCAGTCTCCCTCTCTTCTACACTGTTAGAGACAGTATTTCACTTGTGGCAGAATTGGTTTGGAAACTTAAATGTCACAGTTGTGATGACAGGATGTGCTTGGTACTCACTGTTGGCACTGCATGTCTGTGTACCACTGAGGAATGTGTGACAATGGGAAAGGCTTGGTTAGGTTTGGTGGGGGTTGAGGATCCTTGAGGATGGCCTCCAACCAAATGAGGGGAAAATAAACCAAACCTGACACACCTCTGTGGAAGTGGTTTCTGTGCTTTGTGACAAACAACTTCCTGAGTGACATGTAAAATACACAGAGAATCATTTTTATGCCATTTCTGAATGTTTATAAAGGCATTTGTGAAAGTTCGGATATGCTTGAGAAGGGTTATTTGGAGCATTTCTACTAGAAAGAGATCATTGTCATCTATTACTTTCTTTTTTTCTCACTGCACATGAGAGTAAGTTAGCAAAATGCAGGTAATATTCAAAAAATGAATTAAGAACAGAGGCAAAGTACTCGAGATGGGAGAAGTGAAACTAAAAGAAAATCTCTTCCGCAAAACAAAAAACTCAACCCCTGAAAAATTTCAGCTACAAATAGTTTTAGTGTATATACTAAAGCTGTGTATACCGTCCTATAATATAGGTGGTGAACTGAAAATCTGTGTTGTCTTTTGTGCTGCACTAGTAAAGGACGCTCTAAAATGAGAAGCTCACAAAAAGAGCATCTCAGTGTTTATATGTATTACACTATAAGCTATTATATGTATTTTTACATTATTTATAGATGATAAAAATTAAGTCTCTGTATTTATATCTCATCTATTGTAAAATCTATGAATTTTTCAATTCATTCTGGGAAATCCATAGACAACAGAGCAGAAAATATTTACATTAAAAAGGTTCAAGTTTAAGGCTATCGGTTTCTGGTCTACTTAATTTTATATCAGGGAAGTTGTAAATTACATGAAATACCCTGGGATTGAGTAGAAAATTCCAGTGCAGATGAAAATAATTGTGTGCAAAAAGACATTCCATTAAATAGTTGTTTCTCTGTTTGTAATTTCTCAGACAAATAGATAGTTAGGGACTAGGAGATTTTCCCTTATCATACCCTGGAGATTTTTAGCATTTTCTGTGAAGACTCAGAGGTTTTGGAATGCAGTCACTTGAATCTCTGGCCACAGGATGCCAGTATTGAACCGCATTACTTGCATGAGAGAAAAAATGTTCTCTTTAAGGTAGTCTGGGTGTACGTGGAGCTCATTCTGCCAGCTGTGACAATGAAGGTAAATCTTCTAGCTTTTCAGATAACACAAAATTCTCCTCCTAGAAAGAAGGCTGGGTGCCTGTGTAATGTATGTGGACACAGCGTGCTGGCTCAGGGGGGAGAGCAGCAGGTGCCAGGCAGTGGGTGAAACAGCTTGTTTGCTCTGCAATTATTATTCCCAAAATAACAACAGTAATGATGGAAAAGTGATGTTGACAGTTTTTGGGTGGAGTGGAGAGGTGATTTACTTGTTAAACATAAAGATTTTTTTTTTTTTACCTCTCAGAGTAAGCAATAAACATTCAGCACGGGGTCATTATTAAACTGGCATGACTTTGTAAAAGCTAAGGGTGCTCCTCTGTGTAGCCTCAGAGTGTTTTTCAAAGTCACTGGGTGAGGATGAATTCACTTAAGGTACCTCTGCGAGATACAGGAAGGAATAGTCGTGGCACAGCTGAGAGATTGTTATTCTTGCTTCAAACCATATGCATTAGAAGAGCTTAGGCACGAAAGAGTAATTCTGGGCACCGTGTAAGTGGACACCGTGAAAAAATGGATTGCGATTCACCAAAGGCAGATCTTTGCCAGATGAGCTGGCTAGCTGTCTTTGAGAAGATAGCTGATTTTTCCAGACAGAAGGGAAATGCAGTAGATCTAGTGGACTTAGACTTGAACGGAGCACTGTGAGCAGTACTGCTGCGGGTCAGAGCTGGTTGGTCCGAGCACGGTGTCCTGCTGGCAAGGCTGAGCCCAGTGTGCAGGTGGCGTGGGTCCCTCCCTGCCCATTTGCAGTCACTGTGTTGTGAATGTCACTTGTTCATTTCTCCAGACACGCCTTGGAACGTGGTGCAAGATCCCACAGGTACAAACCAGCCTCACGTAAGATTGGTCTATATATTAAGTATAGATTTTGTAAAGATCAGAGGAGAGGGATATTGAACAGCCAGGAGTAGTGAGTTCAAATACCCAGCCTGAAGATGAGTCGCGTTACCCAAGAAATCCCCACCAAGACTGAATGTCTTTGTTCTTTGGATGAGCACATTTTGACTGTCCTTAATGGCATTTACATTGCCCATTCTCTTTACCAAATTACTGTATTGAACAAAAGATTACTTCACAGTTGGAGAGGTTAATAGGGTCTGGGTGGTATTTTGCAGTGAGAATAACATTTTGTTCTTTTCCAAAGGAATTTTGCTGTAGCACCAAATGGCTGGGACAAATCATTTTCAGCTAGTACAGGCTTCATTTGACCTCTGCTTGCCTGCTTTTTGTACAGCTAATGTGAAAATGAAAAAAAAAGTCAAGTCAAGCAAATCCTTTGAAGCAGATGAATGTGTAAAAAGATGCGGCACCAGCACCAGGCATCTTCCAGAGGGACTCCTCAGTTGATAACCCAACAGTAGATTCATGCTTTATTTCTCTAGAATGGATTGAATTGGGAAGTCATAGCCTGAGCCCACACTAGAAGAGAGATTTTCTGTTTATATAACAAAATGTCTCCTTGAGGGTTATTTACAAACACCTGAGGATGCTGCTTCCTCACTCAGAACACAGTATAATATATTGTTTGCTCTTCTCTTTTTTGAGCATGATGATTTTGTGATCCTCAGAAAATTTCCTCAGTGTATGTTCCTGCAGATTTTACGTCCAGTCTTATAAATATGCAGAAAATTACTGTTTTTTGACTCTTCCAAGCTCTATGTGGTACTCATAGAGCTACCAGCTCAGGGCTTTTTTTGGTAGAGGTTGTTGTGCCTTATTCACAGTGACTTCTACACTTGAAATGGGAAATTAGGGTTGAAAGTAGAAACAAGAGGTGTCTTTACTGATGATACTTTGTCTCATTACAAATGGAAAGGTGGTTGTAAATCCAGGTCCTGCTTAAAGCTGACAATATAAATACTGACTGATGACAGAATGAAACGTTCCTACTCTGTCTTACCTTGTGTATATTGCAACCAAAAGCAGCCAAACAAGCAACTCAACCCCCTCGCTGCCATGCTTGTGTGATTGCTCCTCCATTTGCTGCTCCAGCATGGAGGTGGAAGAGGGATGGCTGCCTCCCACTACAGGGAGGGCAGGGCCTGGCTGCAGGTGGCTGGGCATGGTTAGTCTAACAGGATATTGATGTCCCAGACAGCTCTCGAGGTGCCTTGGCTCTCTCTCTGCTGCTGTGCTCTTTCTCCAAGAATGGTTACACCTCAGCTCAGCTTGACAGCAAGTCTCTTTCTTCTTGCTCCTTTGCTCATCTTCAAGCCTGGAAGGAGTGGGCCAGCCAGGGCGAACCCCTGCTGGCTTCCCACTGCTGGCCGTCCTCCTGCCCTTCACCTCAGATCCGCACAGCCTAAGATCTGAAGTCCCTGCTGCTGGAAGGGAGGGAGACTGAAGAAAATGCCAGTCCCTGCTGAAGCTCAGCCTCTCTGACTCCATCAGTGTGCAGTCTGAGGGCAAGCTGGCTGGCTATGCTCTGTGCTGCTGACCTCCAGAGGGAAGAGCAAAAGATGGCAGAGGTTGTTAGACAGCAAAGCAGGGAAGCAGTTCTGATTCGTGTCTTCTGAGAGCTGCACTGCTTTACCCTTCTCACTCTGCACTGGTGTAGATGCTGACACACAGTACTAGATAGGGAAACAGAAACTTTCTTTCACAATAAATCCTTCTAGCTAAAAATGTGTTGCTGAAAATGGAAAAAAAAAAATAATAAAAGAAGTGGTAAAAGAATGTTCTCTTACTCTTCAGTTTATAAATGAACTGTGCCACTTATGAATCAGCTCTCTAAGTGGGAATCTCTAAATACACAGGATGGAAATATGTCCACAGTGACAAAGAATGTAAAGTTTCTTTATACATGTGACATCCTTAGATCTGTGAAGCATTATAATCATTTTCTTTCTTCCGTAGTTGCTTTGTTTTGTTTCCTTTTTTGGTTAGGCAGAGCTTGGCACAGCCGAACTAACTTGTTTGAACCCCTCCAGAGTTTTATTTTAACATTACGACTGTGTTAAAACTAAGCAATTGTGGAGAGAGAGCCGTGTTTTACAGTAGTCCTTAAAAGCATGCATACCTTTATTGAACAGGTTTATACCTGTGTACCTTTCTGTTGTTATTTTATGTGAAAATCATTGGATGAGAGGCAAAGAACACATAGTTAAAAACACACAAAAAAAAAAAGCCAGGCATTTAAATGCTATGTGCATCAGGTGTATGTAACTCATGAACACTATCTGCAAGCAGGTTGTGTAGCAGATGACATAGTTTTCCTGTCTGCTTCTTCCTTCTCCATCCATTCCAAAAATCTCCCACATGTATGCTTTTATTTTTGCAGACACTGGAACTGAAGCATTGCAAATCCTCTTGGAAGTTGTCCCATCAGAGGAGGACCAGAAATCATGATCTGCATCTACCCAAAAACGCAGCCTTTGGCTTGATGTTTCATTTCAACCTGAGGAAGAGCGTGCGGAGATGTCTTCCTCCTCCTAGTGCTCTGCAAATTGGAGGAACAAATCACAGCTGAGATGGATACTGAGTGCATCAGTTGCCAGAACTGTATTTTATGATGTTGCAATTTATTTTTTTTTTTTTTAAAGTGTGTTTGGTTTATACGTAGAGAGCAAGAATTTATGCCATAAGGACTCTTGAACTATTTTTTGTTAGTGTTGTGTTTTAATGAAACATAGATTTTTCAAACAAGGATTTTTGTTGCATTGTCACTGAAAATAAGTTTAAGCATTGTGTAAGTAATAGTCAGGTGTACTGTGATGAACGTATCCTACTTGCTGTCCTGAAGAACCTACTCTGACTAGGGAAAGGGGCAGATAAAGCTGCTGAGTATCACTTAATAATGTTCTTCCTCTCCCTCTGTTTGGCAACCCTAGTTTACTTATGTCTTGCTTGGAGCACCAGTGCATTGATGCAGAAATACAGTGGTTTCTACTGCGTTTGTGGTGGTGAGATCAAGGTATAACATAACACATAAAAGCATCTTCTGAGAATTAGTATTTCTACCAGCGGGACAGGTAGATTTTAGCCTAAGGGCAGTAATTTTATACATGTTCAAGTTTCTACCAGTCAAGAAATTATGACTATTTTTTGCCAACGCTTCTTTTCTGTGTGTATGGGAAATACAGCAACAGAGTAATTACCTTCAGATCGGTATTTGAATCCGATCTCCGTTGTTATATGAATATTTTCTATCTGGAAGCATACGAATGTGCATTTATCAGTCAGGCAAACAGGATTTTAGAGTTTTAGATAATTACTTGTGGTCAGCAGATGAATAATGGTCACTGGTTTTATAATCTGCGGGAATTTTGTATAGACACGGCAATAAATGCAGTACTGTTTTATGAGTAAGGTGTAAGGCAAGCTACAACAGATTGGCTGATTTGAGTTGGGAACACACCTAATCTGTGGGTTTTTTATTCAAGCACACTCCAATTAATCGGGCTTTGAAACACCCAGGGAACAGGTGCTCTGCCATCTTCTTCCTGGTTTTATCTCAGCTGAAACAGAGAAAATCTATCAAAACTGATAAAATCAAACCAAATTGAAGTTTCCCCTTCAGAATGATGTTTGATCTGAAAGCTGGCTCAAATATGAGCTGAAATTTTGCCCTTTAAAAAAAAAAAATGGAGATAAGGAATTTTTTTAATGCTTAAAAATTCAGTTTTATACAATTAATCAGAGACTACTCAACCTTAAGACTGAGGTTTGTTAGCGCTCTGTTAAGAATATAATGCTTAAATACTGGATGCACTACTTTTTTAGCTGTTTGCTATTAGCAAATTGTACGTTTCATGAAAGCTTTTATGGAACTAAGCAACATTAGACTTCCTAAATAGGGAGGAAAGCACAACTAATGGCCAGACCACTACAGTAAAGGGAGACTGTATTTTGTACATGTGTTGTATATATCCAGAATATTTACCATTTTAAAGGTGTACAGTAAAATATCTTAAAATTCCTAAATGTTTTTCTTTCTTGTATTTCTGTAGCGGAATTTCATAGAAGTAGGGAAATGGGAGTAACTGATGATCTAGAAGAGTGGTAATTTAAGAGAGCATTCTCCAAGCTTTTTTAACTTTAAATATTTGCTGTTTACGGTAACTTAAAGTGTTATTTGAAACTTCTTTTAGGCAAACATTTTGAGCTAGATTTTTGTGCTGACAGCTCGTGCGTTTAGCTGGTATTTACACACGGGGCAGAAGTGTGCTTTTGAGGCTGTCTCCTGCCCCATCCCAGTCCCCCACGTTTTGGCCTGCGTCAGCATGGAGCACCTTAGGCTTACACCATTTCCATCCATTTCTCATGGAACCAAAGGGTTTTTGCCCTCCGGGAGCAGGCCTATCACATTCCTTGTTTGTGGAATCCCGCCAGAGCAAAGCCTCCTCCACACTGATACTGTGGGCAGTGGGTCTTGCACATCCGCTGTTCAACTCCATGTATTCGCTCCTATTGTGCCGCATTACTTGAAAATTTAGATGTAGCCAGTGTTAATTTGTAGAAATAAATGGCTCTGCAGGGGTAACTGAACGTTACTTTATTTCTGTTGTTTTTGCCGTCACGGACTTCAAAGTTTAGGAATGTTTCTGAAGTCTGACCCAATGACTGTATTTTGCTGTATTTTCTGTTCATGTAAGGGCTTCATTTGTCCTGAGAGAGCTCCTTTGACTCATTGTTTGTGAAGATGTATATTTTGGGAGAAAAAAATGTTACTTGCAAAATAAAAAAACAGAGTTTTTTGAAAATGCCTATTGAGTCTGATTTCTGTTTTAGTTTCCTTAGCATTCACAATCGCCACACCCACACAGTGTTCTAATCAGATTTCCATTGTGTTATAAAAGTCAGTGTTAAGGACTTTTGTTATACGTGGAAATGATGCATATCATCCAAAAAGTAGAGAAATTAGGTAACTATATATATATATATATATTTTAAAGATGTGGAGTTATTTTTAAAGACTTTTGAAAGTATTCTCTTCAGTCTCATAAAGGAAGTTCTTCTAGGATAATAGATATATTGTATATATGTTTTTCATATTAGAGATCACGCCAGTGAGAGTGCTCTGTGAAGAATTTCAAGATCCTGAAATGTTTTGCTGCTTTTTCTTGCCCTTATAACTATTAGTCCACTGGGCTCTGTCAGACAGCTTCTTTCTTTGTTTTTTAGGTGGGTGCTGCTCTTTTTTTTTTTTTTCCTTTGAACTTACTGCTTTTCCGGGGTGTCGGCAGAAATCTTACCACAAAGGCAGCAGAAACGAACACTTGATGCACGTAGAGAATACATCTGAGGTTTATTTAGTACATCTCTGAGAGAAGCGGGTCAGCATTTGAAGCCTCAGAAATCCTGACCTAACTTTGCCTCCCCCTGATCCAGCCTGCTGTGTGGCCTGAGGCATGATCACACCAGCAGCACCTGCTCTGGCCCCTGCAGCCTGCCCACAGCACTGGGTGGGTGCAATGTGCCCTCCTCCCCCGCCTGCTACAGGCACTGTGTCCCACACTGGAGCCTGCCTTGTCTTTCAAGAGGCTATCGGGCAGGTACCAAAACATTTTTATAAACTTCTCCCACATCTAATATCTCCTAGAGGTGTTTGCGAAGCAACTTTCGTGTCTTTTATTGAGTTTCTGGTGCATTTTTCGCTTTATACAGATACTGTTGCTTATTTTTATTCTCATTTGTGCGTATTAAATGTTGCTTTTTAATGCTAACGCACCCTAACAAAAGGATTTAATCTGATTTAATTTAAATATGCATCTGATCATAATAAATTAAGGGCTATGCTGGCTTAGGGAGAGACAAACTTGAGAAAACTGAGCTGCCACAGGTCGTGATATGTCCTGTGCTAAGACCTAAGATGCATCCCATGGGCCCCTCACTACAAGAAAGACGTGAAAGCCTCAGAGCTTGTTCAGTGAAGGGCAACAAAGCTGCCGAAGGGCCTGGAGCACAAGTATTACGGGAAGTAGCTGAGGGAGCTGGGATTGTTCAGTCTGCAGGAGAGGAGGCTCAGGGGTGACCCTATCGCTCTCTACAACTGCCTGAAAGGAGGTTGTGGCCAGGTGGGGCTTGGCCTCTTCTCCCAGGTAACAGCAATAAGATGAGAGGTAATGGCCCCACATTGCACCATGGGAGATTCAGGTTGGGTATTAGGAAGAATTTCTTCTCCAAAACAGCAGTCGGGTGCTGGAATGGGCAGCTGAGGGACGTGGTGGAGTCACCACCCCTGGAGGTGTTCAAGAAACGTGCAGGTGTGGCACTTAGCAACATGGGTTAGTGGGCAACATTGGTGGTTGGTGGATGGCTGGAGTAGGAGGTGATCTCGCAGTTCTTTTCCAATCTCGGTGATAATGTTTCTAAAACAAGTATTTAGAGTAGATGAGATGATTTCTGGAGTCAGTTGCAGTTCTGTTCTTAAAGAAGGAGATGGGATGGCTAGGTGTAGGCAAGCTGAGCAAGAGTGAGATGATCCTGAAGTTACTGCAACCAGTATGAACAGTTACTAAAAGTACATAGAACATAAGCCAACTGATAGAGTATTACAATTTCCTACTGAGAATTACTTTCTTTTTCAATTCAAATTGCAAATAGGTGTTTCATTTGACTAGAACACGCTGCATTTTCCAGACTTTCTAATTAGAATCCAAGTCAAACCAAGCAACTTTTCCAGGAGGAAGTTCACCTGTCTTTGACTACGTAGCCAGTTCATATCCCGGCTTTCTGTGGAAATGCTTTTGGAAGCAGCTCTAATATTTCAGCTGAATGTATATTCTTCTTCATTTCTGAGGAAAATCAACTTTCAATTGAGAATACTTCAAATATTCTAAAGACAAAGATTAAGTTACCCTGTCCACAGGGTAGGTTGCTAATTGTGTTGATACAAGATGCAAAAGGACTTTCTATAACATCTAGTAACTCCAGAAGTTTTGCTTCAAGCATCAGACAAATTCTAGAATTCAGACAGAATTTTGTCATTTGTGGTCTTAGAAAATCAGTTGATCTTTCTGCTCGCTGCTGTGAGTAGGGGAGGGTGCAGATTCCCCCGTGCTCACGCAGGATCTGTTCTCTGTGCAGCCTCGCAGCTCTTGCTATTGTGTTTTTCTCTTTCTGACACCCCGACCTATGTTTCATTCAGTTTTCTGAGGTGGCAAATCTGGAGTAATCCAGGATGGTCTCCTTGCATGAAGTGCCTTCGGCTGACTTGCTGGGACTTGGCAAACTGATGCTGGATTTCTTCATGGTGTTCAGAAGCCTGTATTTTTTTTTTCCCTTACACGTCAGTCCATGTGTAATTTGATTTTTGCTATTGTCTTTTGCAAAGGAACTGCTGGAGAGCATGACTACAATTGACACACCAATTCAGTTTACACTGGCTTTCTTTTTTTCTATTCAAAGGAACTTTTGAAATACTCTTTTCCTTGAAGCGCAAAGACCCAAATGGATTAAACAACTTTATCAACAAAGGCTTGACTGTATCAAGAGAGCGTTTGGATTCTCTTTAAATTCCTTGCAACAGGAATACCTACAGCATTGTGATCTAAACCACAGCTTTGATATTTTCTAAATATCATGTTGCTGATGATCCAACACAATTATTAAAGGACTGTGGCTAGGATGGGTTTTATGCTTGCGTAGCTTATTCTTTCCTACAGCGCAAGCCACAATACATTCCCACTGCTCAGCTTTCCTGCAGGCCTTTTCCTGCTCACAGGAATCACCCAGACCTCCATCTGAGAGGGAACCTCCTCCCCTCCTCTGGGGTGCACCTCTCCACACAGCAGGATGCTCTGGAAGCTAACACATGTTGGCTGCACATGAATGCTTGGCAGAGCCCAGGGCTTGCTCTGACAGGGGGGAGCTGGAGTCCTCAGCCTGAGGAATAAGCTGACTTTTACAATCACCGCTCCCACTCAAAACATTTTAACATTGTTACCTAGGAATTTTGGTATTTTTTTCCCGCCCTGTTTGTTATAAGAGGTTAAAATATTATGGGATATCATTCTGATTTTACCCCCTGCTATTGGCTCTGCCTCAAGAAAGCTATCTGACACTGTTTTAGCTGCCAATATCTCCTTGCCACTCAGTCATTACAGTGTAATTGGATCTAAAGTAGATGTATAATTTGCTGCTAGCAATGTTGCCTTATCTTAATTATGATATCTAGCTGATTTCTAAGGATACTCATCAATGAGTATGCATAGCACAGCAGGTAGACCTGTACATTTGGATGATTTCACAAGAACCTGAGCTTCCACAGAACCAGTATATCACACCACATAAATTTATCAGGGCAGGACCTCTGGATTAAGGCAGATGGCTACTTTTAAAATGCCCAGGAAACTGCACAAAGACTGATGTACTCTGGGCTGTGTAAGTGTGTGTGCTCTGGGAGGAAATGAGGAGTAAATATGAACTCAGGCAGATGATTCCTCTGTGCATTTTCCCTCTGCTCTCTCCTGCATTTAGAATGGCTGAAGGTTACAAATAACTTTTCACTGAGACTATTTCCTTTCAGTGCCTCCTCTGCAGGCCAGCTTTTCGAGACATCTGTATTTAATTTCAAGCTGGGTGCTATTCTTGCCCATGCACTTTCAATTTTTTTTCTAAGCCTCATATTTTTCCTCATCTGAAAACTGTCATGTCATAGACAACCAGTTCTCCGGGCTATAACAGTAATTTTAAAACCTGAAACGATTGTAAGCTGTGGCCACACGAGTCTCACCCAGCAGCTCCGTTCTGCCAGGCTCCTACAGCTTTGCTTGCAGACTGCTAATGGAAGGCCTTGCAGCTGAGCACGTTGCACCCAGCTCCTGTGGTGCAGCCATATCGATGGACTCCACATATTCCAGTGCCCCATTGGATGCCCTGCCATGGCTGCCTGCCCCGAGTGATCTGGGCACCTGACAAACACTGCTGCAGGTTGTGAAAACTGTGAGAGTACTGGTAGGTTTGTAGAAATGGAGTGATGGTGTGCAGAATGGTGAATTCAGTGGTTAGCCACCCATGTGTATTACTTGCATACCTTCAATTACCAAGTGCTTTACTAATAATTTCCTTTTACCATTTTTAGGGGGGCGTTTCAGGTTTTCTGTGTTCTGATTACGAAAAACCTGCAGCAGGCAAAAAAGCTTCCAAGGGAGCTCTTGCTGTATTTTTGCTTGACATACTGCACTATGCAATTCAATATTCATAAATTACTTTTGGCTGCTGTTAGTATTTCACAGCTCTGTTTGCTAATTCACGGGCCAGATACATTTAAAATGAATCATTAAATGCCAGGAGATTTGGTGCTCGTTGCACATATAACAGTTCACTACTGAACAAAGCTCCAGCAGTTTGTACCGATGCTAAACTCTGGCTACCTTTGATTTTATAATGAAAATCAGCGTCAGAAAGAGGCAGGATAAATCAGATCCTGTGCTGTCAACCTGGCAGAGATGATTGATTGCACCTTTCTGACAGCACAGCATTTGATTGCAAGTCCCATGCAGCTCTGCTTTAGATCATACAAAGACATCTGGATGATGAAAAGCGTGCTAGCTGGGAAGATAGCACACAGTGCTGCACCAGTGTCATATTTATCCAGCGGTATGTGTACTCTAAAATGCTCCAGGCTGTAGCTCATGCTAATAATTATCTCTTGTGTTGAATCCACCTTGACCCATTTTTATTCTTCTACCCATATTTTAAACAGAAATTGTTTTCAAATTCCTTCCCAAAATGGAAATGTAAAGCCTTTATCTAAAAC